TCCAAATGGTGGGCATCTCATTTTCGTTCTTAAATTCTCTTGCAGATTTTTAACCTGAACTTTCATTACTTCTTGAGCTCAACAAACCTTCTCACACTGATTTAACGTTAAATTTTCTTGATTTAATAGCTTTTCTTGAAGACCTTTATCAGTTATACCTAATACGATTCTGTCTCCTTTATCGTATCATTTCATCTGCGTCCTTAAATTCACATGACTTTACTAATTTTTTTAAGTCTTGTACGAAATGATCAAATGATTCTTGCGCGCTTTGATTACGATTATAAAATTTAAATCTTTCGTATATCAAATTTTTCTTCGGACTTAAATATTCCTCAAACTCTTTCAATACCACATCATATTTCTTCTTATTTTCATCAGACAACGTGAAATTATTGTAAATGTCCACTCCTTCCTCGCCAATAGCATTCAAAACGATTGCTACTTTAATACCATCACTTTTCAGCCATGTATATTTCAAAATTTTGTTTAAACTTTTTGAAATTCTCTACTACATTTGCTTCGAACGACAATTGAGCAGGAATATCATATGATCACTTCTTTTTTTTACGTCTACTTTTTACTACGTACTTGTATTAATATTGATTAAACTTTATTGACTGCGCCATATTGTGTTCTGTCAATAAAAGTCAGGATTTTCACTACTACTTTATTGAACAAAACTAGAATTATTTTATTTTACAGTGTTCGAAATTACTTGACTTAACTTGTCATTCTTCATCTTCATGTTGTACTTCACACTGGTTGGTATTGCCCAAGGACAGTAGAATCTAACAGGACTGCTACATCCATTGTATTTTTGTAGTCCACTACGGATTGGTTGCCCGCACTCTACGTCACACTATTTGCCACGCCTGGTAACTGTCTGTGTTTTTAGANGTTAGGTTGTTTGTATCCACATATGATATTAACTGGAGTTGACTTGTTAGCTGGAGTTTTGCAGCAAAATTGATGGTGTTGAATTTGTCTTTTAATTATAATCACCACCTTTCCGGCAGCTGTGGCGGAAAGCTATCTGCTCTATACAGGCTGATTCTCAACCTATACGCATAAACTTGGGGATTTATTCCTCATGACAAATAATGACTAATTGGTGAAAAAAATTGTAGCAAAAGTTTTTTAATTTTCTAGATATCCTTGAAATTAACTTTCAAATTAAGAATACATAGAAATTACTTGAAACTGCGATGATGATAAACAATTGTAATTTCAAGCGACACACATATTCGACCGAAGCTTGGGCAAAATGAAGGAGCAGTTAGACCTTTACACATTGTTAATGTCGAGAAAGAGATTTTGAATGTCGTTGAAGAGCAGCCTGGCATAAGTACTAGGATACTTGTAGAGCAACATAGGGTATAGTCTCCGATTTTTCTGGTGGTTTTTATGATCCTCAGAAACACTAGCAGCAGTAATTATCACCCCGAAAAAGTACCTGGCCGTGATTTATGATAGGCCCTCCTAGCGAACTAAGTCCAGGGACGTACTTCTTTTTTTATTTTATTTCAATATGAATTATTTAACATTTCTAACCGGTGATTGTCGTTAATTCAAGATTCTTCATCAGTTTCATAACAGTTGTCACTTTCCGAACATTCTAAGCTGTCGTCATCAGAAGAATCATCAACACTAATGTAAAACATGTGGCGACACATACGAATCTTCGACATCTTTCACGTGTTTTACGCACTGCGACCACAATTCGGATGAAATATTATTATATTCCTCAGAGATTGGGGTTCGTCAACTACCTGTTTACAACCTTCTCTTTGTTCGTTATATGACTTTATTTAAGTCATAAAAACCACCAGAAAAATCGGAGACTATATCACAATCCATAATTTGGCAAATATTGAGGCACAATCAACGTCATCCATAGATCTCATTCCATTCTTGGAATGAATTGGTCATTCTGGATAATCGATTAACTGGTGCTCATTATTTACAATTTTACACAATAATATACCCAACCTCAATCGCATAGTGTACGCCACCAAAGTGGATAATGAGCAAGAATTGCGAAATCGGATACATGGTGTTGCCGAGACAATCCGCCAACACCATGGTTTAAGTCACGCTTGTGGCAGATCGTGGATTCGGCGAGCCCAATTGTGTATACAAGGTATGGGAAATAACTTCGAAGACTTGTTATGATGTTATTTTAAAGTAAATAAATCCCCAAGTTTATGCCTATAAGTTGAGAATCACCCTGTATACATTATATCCTGCTATTCGGAAAATCTCACTTGGAGCTAGGTGTGTTTCCGTGATATAAGCTACATCAATCTGATAGCGAGCAAAAAACGCAATAAGAAGAGTTCGTTGTTTTTTAATACCATTGGCGTTGAAATTCATGATTAGGTTAGGTTGTGTATGGTTGTTAGTTTAGTCCTGAATTAAATGTGGGAGTAAATGGTTAATTACGAATGTGTTGATTTGTGGTATTAGGGAAACAAAGAAATCTTTAAGATAGGAGAGGATGGTAGATAGGTTTGGTTGATTCTCTACTTGAGCTGAAGCAGGCGTGCTTTTTACTGTCGATGTGTAGCTCGTTATATTAGTCTTTGTTTGAGATATTGCTTGTGAGCTCTGGGTTCTTTGGGCAAGATGGACTGAAGTTGTTTGACGATGGTATTTGTCCTGATATTTGATGTGAATTTTACAGCTTCGATAGCTTGCTGGATGATTTTGGTCACAATTGGCACACTTTGGTGGATCAGCTTGAAGTTTTTTGCAATTAGTGTGGTTGTAATTTTCACTGCATTTGTCGCACCTAGGGCTCATTGAGCAGTAATTTTTCGTATGTCCATATCGTTGGTAGTTATGGCATTGGGAAATCTTTTCTTCTTTTCCAATTTAGTTCACCAGGCTACAGCTAAATGATTTGGTAATTTGCATCTTCGACATTCTTTTCCAAATGGTGGGCATCTCATTTTCGTTCTTAAATTCTCTTGCAGATTTTTAACCTGAACTTTCATTACTTCTTGAGCTCAACAAACCTTCTCACACTGATTTAACGTTAAATTTTCTTGATTTAATAGCTTTTCTTGAAGACCTTTATCAGTTATACCTAATACGATTCTGTCTCCTTTATCGTATCATTTCATCTGCGTCCTTAAATTCACATGACTTTACTAATTTTTTTAAGTCTTGTACGAAATGATCAAATGATTCTTGCGCGCTTTGATTACGATTATAAAATTTAAATCTTTCGTATATCAAATTTTTCTTCGGACTTAAATATTCCTCAAACTCTTTCAATACCACATCATATTTCTTCTTATTTTCATCAGACAACGTGAAATTATTGTAAATGTCCACTCCTTCCTCGCCAATAGCATTCAAAACGATTGCTACTTTAATACCATCACTTTTCAGCCATGTATATTTCAAAATTTTGTTTAAACTTTTTGAAATTCTCTACTACATTTGCTTCGAACGACAATTGAGCAGGAATATCATATGATCACTTCTTTTTTTTACGTCTACTTTTTACTACGTACTTGTATTAATATTGATTAAACTTTATTGACTGCGCCATATTGTGTTCTGTCAATAAAAGTCAGGATTTTCACTACTACTTTATTGAACAAAACTAGAATTATTTTATTTTACAGTGTTCGAAATTACTTGACTTAACTTATCATTCTTCATGTTATACTTCACACTGGTTGGTATTGCCAACCTAATATGCAACAGGGGGTTTTCCAGGTTTTGGTCTTATTATTATTTCAGCAACTTTCCATAGACTTGGGAAGTATTTCTGTTTAAAAGCAGCATTCATTATGTGTAATAGTAGTTTTTGTATTTCATAATACAGTTTTTTCATATTTACACATGGTATATTACTCTGCTGATCACTTTGAATTATGCTATGAACACTATTTAGCATAGTTGTTGGACTGTCTGATGTAAAAGTTTCTTTCAGATGTTCAGCAAACAAATTGATTTCGAATTGGAGGTGTATATGTTTTTGGAACTTTAAGCTTTCTTGTTGCTTTCCACAGAAAATAATCAGTACTGGCATCGTCAGTTGTGGATATAGGCAGCAATATTAACACTTAAGCTAAGTTAGAGATATAAGTACAGTGTGTTAATTAATTATCGTACCGAACATCATCATTGTAAGTATGCAACCAACATCACAGTGCAATACGCATCATACGCAAATCGCGTATTGCAATAAAAATACTGTGATATTGGTTGCATACTTACAATGATGACGTCGGGTACGATAATTAATTAACACACTGTATGTTAAGAGAGTTTTAGAGGTGATGTTAGAAAATAAACGGTCAACTAAATATTAAATATAAAACAGCAATATTGTTGAGAATAAAATTTATAACTTTTATACCGAAATTTTTTGTCTAAAATGTTCCGAATGCAGTGCTTAGATTAACATTTCGGAGTCCATACATGTATAAATAACGAACCGAACACCATAGCGAATCGATTTATGACCACTTGAAAAGGTCGTCTTTTTGTTATTTTCCTGTACTTTTCCAATACTTTGGAGTTTCAGTTGAATTCGAGACTTCGAATCGGACATTTTCACTTTTGTATTGTCCAAGGATTAAGCAAAATACTGTACATGTAAAATCCTATCTAATTGGGGGCTAAAAAAAATTGTGAACTACCTTCATATAGGTTTCTCTTCATCCCCCAAATGAATTATAACTAATTCCTAACTTAAAATTTCTTTTCATACCCCCAGGAAAAAAACTTTGATCTCTTCGGGGAAATCCCCTTCACTTCGAAAACTACCTGTTCGAACCGGAAACGTCGAACGTAGTCCGAACTAATCGACGTCGAGGGCGACGCGCCGTTTCCATGGCGATAGACGCCCTTCACGGTTACCTGATCCGCGACCACCTTGATTTAATTATCGTGGTGGTCTAAAACTACCCTTCGCTTCCCATCTTACTCCCCTCACTCTCATTATAAGAGTACAATTAATTTCTTCTATTTCTTTTCAGAACCAAATTTCGTGGGATCCTTCGAAATCGGTGAATACGTTTTCTTCTTTTTCCGTGAAACGGCAGTCGAGTATATAAATTGCGGAAAAAGCGTCTATTCAAGAGTGGCAAGAGTTTGCAAGAAAGATACCGGTGGAAAAAATATTTTATCGCAAAATTGGGCTACATATCTGAAAGCTCGATTAAATTGCTCGATTCCGGGGGAATTTCCATTCTATTTTAACGAAATCCGTAATTATTAATTATTTTAACTTAATAATTTTAATTTTTAATAATGTTTGTTGATTTCAGAGAGTATTTATAAAGTCCCAGGAGATGATAACAAATTTTACGGCACTTTCACCACCTCAACAAACGGATTGATGGGCTCAGCAATTTGTTCGTTTACTTTAAACGATATCCAGGCTGCTTTTAATGGGAAATTTAAAGAGCAAGCTACTTCATCGTCTGCGTGGCTTCCGGTTTTGTCGAGTAGAGTCCCGGAACCACGACCGGGAACTTGCGTTAATGACACGGAAACTTTGCCCGATACCGTCCTTAATTTTATCAGATCACATCCGTTAATGGATTCAGCGGTTAGCCACGAAAATGAAAAACCGGTTTATTTCAAACGCGATTTATTCTTCACCCGATTGGTTGTTGATAAGATTAAAGTTGATATCGGTGGTGCTATTTTGGATTACACCGTTTATTATGCCGGAACAAGTAATTAACCCCACATAACTCTTTAAATTTGTGTTAATGCAATAATTTTTTTTAGACGATGGTCGCGTCCATAAAATCGTTGAATGGTCAAGAGATGGTGATGAATCCTCTTCAATCCTCTTAGACGTTTTTGATGTAACACCCGGGGAACCAATTCAAATCATGGAAATCTCGAAAGAACACAAAGCTCTCTTTGTAGCTAGTGACCACCGCGTCAAACAAATCGATCTCGTTATGTGTAACAGACGTTACGATAATTGTCTCCGTTGTGTCCATGATCCTTATTGTGGTTGGGATAAAGACTTCAACGTTTGTAAGCCTTACGTACCTGGATTACTCCAAGATGTCTCAAACAGTACGATCCACGTGTGCGATAGTAGCATAGTCAAAAAGAAAATGGTGGTAACATGGGGGCAAAGTTTGCATTTGGGATGTTTCTTAAAAATGCCAGCGGTTTTGGCGACGCAAACAATTACTTGGTATCACCACTCGAAGGAAAAGGGGCGTTATAAGATCGTTTTTCGACCGGATAAATATATTGAGACTTCGGAACATGGATTGGTGATAATTGCTGTAACGGAAGCGGATGCTGGGTTGTATGATTGTTGGATGGGAGCTTCGTTGTTGTGTTCTTATAATGTTACTGTTGATGCTCATCGTTGTTCACCGCCGTCCAAAAGTAATGAGTATCAAAAGATTTATTCGGATTGGTGCCATGAATTTGAAAAGTATAAATCGGCGATGAAAACTTGGGAAAGAAAACAATCGGTAAGGAAAAAATTTTCAACATTCTTATTTTTCATTTAAAGTTAAAATCGAATACAAACACGATTTATTTATTATCTACAACCAGTTCAAACGTAGCTTTTTTGTTAATACGGAACTCTTTTAGGACGTTCCACCATCTTAAGTTTTACAATTAGTAACTAAGTCCTATTAAGCCAAGTTAATTGTTATTTAATGAATGCAGATTTGTCAGCACTTCAAAGAAAACATATTAGCTCTCCTAACTTTGCTTCTCGTATCCTGGCACTACTTGTACTACCTGGAAAATGCAATCCGGGGCGAGTGACTAGATGATTGAGTATTCCGAAGATAAAATATTGTTACTTAGGCTCCCCTAAAAAACGGAATTAAATTTTTGTTCTCCGCAACACATGTCATCCTAGGAATTACTAGGATACTACATCTCATCCATTCATGCGTCGTTACTCCATTAAAATCCGTTATGAATCGATCGATTATCCTCTACAACTATCGTGATACTAAAATTGATGAACATATAGCTTGGTTGTGCTATTTGCCTTATTTCGGATGTATCAGACTTGGCTTTGGCATGCTGCCTTGGTGGCGGGGTGGTACTGGTTAGATAATTATGAGAAACCACGTCCATAAAGCCTTTACTGTACTGCTCAAAGCTAATTCCTGCCCAATCTGCAGTTTTGTTTCATTGACTTAAAACCTTTCTCTTAATTCAAACGTTTGTCAGTTCAAGTCTGCAATCGAGAAGCAAAGGGACATTGCAAAGATAGTTTGCCCTACGACCAAACTGGAATTTTTGTTATTGGCTGTAATTATATAATATATCAATTGAGCAAAAACTAGCCAAATACTTGGTTATATAATTAGTAACTATCAAAACTACTGTGGTTGGTATGCTTGAACAAGCTTGAACAAATTAATAGGGAAAAACGACACAGTTGAGCTTGACTCTCTAACATGGGAATGTGACAAGACATGAAACGTGTAGTTTCATCAGACAACACTTCCAGATGAAAATAATATAAGTGTGCTAAGACGAGCACAGATATGGCAAAATCTTGCTTTGAGAAAACTAGCAAAAGCTGGCTTGTTCCGCATATTCAGTATGCATAGGGACTGCTAAAGGACAGGCTATTGATCCTTTTAGTTTGCAAAGTTGCCAAAAATGTCATGAAGATTATTGGCTGTGGTGGCCAAGCTTTCATAGAGAAGCCGCTTTTGATCCTACAATGTCCGATTTTCCAATTGTTTCGAAATAGAGTTCGTAAAGTGTTGAATTGTCTTATCTTCTTAATCCACTAGTCAGTTTCTGAGCATTACTCGTCCTAATGTTACGATTTTTTATTAAGTTCAAAGGTTTTTTACAAAAAATTACATTTTGTTTTCTATAGTTGACTTTATCATTTTCCATGTTTGAATATGATATATATATTTCACTAGAAAGTATAATCTTTTTCCTACAATTTAAGATACATATATTTCATTCTCTTGGCATCACTCGTTTTAAGGACATGATTTTTTTTTAATTTAAAGAATTTTTTACAAAGAATTAATTAATAATCTTTCCACAAATATATTTAAAATTTAATTTGTTTCTAAATAAAATAAACGAATCCTTTGAAGGCGATATACATCAGTCAAAAACGTAGTTTTTCCCTACAAATCAAGATATATATCAATCTCTTAGCATAACTCATTTAAAAGATACGATTTTTTGTTTCATCAGTTTCTTTTATAAAAAATTCCATTTTTGTTCTATAGTTGATTTTGTCATATTTTCCTAAACAATAGAAATAACATATTTAAATATGGTATATATCACTAAAAAGTATAATCTTTTCACTATAAATTAAGACATATATCAATTTCTTGGCATAACACGCTTGAAAAATACAATTTTTTTAAATTCAATGTTTTTTTGCAAACTATTGGGTCCTTCTAGAAATACACTGAAATTTGTCGTTTTGTCCTAAACAATATAAACAAAATATGTGAATATACTATACATCACACGAAAGAATAATCTTTTCTCTACAATTTAAGATATAAATCATTCCCTTAACATTGCTCGTTTTAAAGATACGATTTTTTTAATTCAAGGGTTTTTTTACAAAGAATTACGTCTTCGTAAACATATACGTAACTTTGTCATTTTTTCCTAAACAATATAAACAAATTCTTTGAAAATGGTATATATCAATAGAAAGTGGAGTCTTTTCTCTACAAATTTAGGTATATATCATTCTCCTAATACTAAACTCTTTAAAGATACGATTTTTTTAATTTTAAGTTTTTTTATAAAAAAAATTTGTTTTCTATAGTTGACTTTGTCATACTTTCCCAAACAATATAAACAAAATATTTGAATATGGTATACATCGCTAGAAAGTGTAATCTTTACCCTGCAAATTAAGATATATATCGTTATCTTAGCATAACTCTTTGAAAGATACGATTTTTTAAGTTCATGGATTTTTGTAACGAATTACGTCTTTCTAAAAATATGTTGAAATTTGTTATTATTTTTCAAACAATATAAACATATCGAAAGAACTTATAAACTTCGAAAGTACAATCTTTTCTCTATAAATTAAGATATATATCATTCTCATAGCATAACTAATTTGAAAGATATGATTTTTTTTTGATTGATAAGGTTTTTATAAGAAATTATGAATTTTAAAGATATACTTAATTTTGTCATTTTCTCTTAATCAATATAAACAAAATATTTGAATATGCTATACATCACACGAAAGTATTATCTTTTCTCTACAAATTAAGATATATATCATTCTCTTAGCATAAGTCGTTTGAAAGATACGATTTTTTTTCACGTTCAATGAATTGTGTCTTGTTAGAAATAGTGTGAAATTGCTTATCTTTTCCTAAGCAATATAAACAAATTCTTTTAAAGTGGTATATAACAGTCGAAAGTACAATCTTTTCTCTACAAATTAAGATATATATCATTCTCATACCATAACTAGTTTGAAAGATATGATTTTTTTAATTTCAAGGTTTTTTCTAAGGAATTATGTCTTTTAAAAATATACTTAACTTTGTCATTTTATCTTAGTCAATATAAACAAAATATTTGAATATGCTATACATCACACGAAAATATTATCTTTTCCCTACAAATTAAGATGTATATCATTCTGTTGGCATAAGTCCTTTGAAGAATACGATTTTTTTCAAGTTCAAGGTTTTTTACAATGAATTGTGTCTTTTTAATAGTTTAAGATTTCTCATCTTTTCCTAAACAATATAAACAACTTCTTTTAAAGTGGTATATATCAGTCGAAAGTACAATCTTTTCTCTACAAATTAAAATATATATCATTCTCATACCATAACTAGTTTGAAATATATGATTTTTTTAATTTCAAGGGTTTTTTATAAGAAATTATGAATTTTAAAAATATACTTAATTTTGTCATTTTATCTTAATTAATATAAACAAAATATTTGAGTATGTTATATATCTCACGAAAGTATAATCTTTTCTGCACAAATTAAGATGTATATCATTCTCTTAGCATAAGTCGTTTGAAAGATACGATTTTTTTTCAAGTTCAAGGCTTTTTACAATGAATTGTATCTTTTTAGAAATACTGTGAAATTTCTCATCTTTTCCTAAACAATATAAACAAATTCTTGAAAGATGGTACATATCAGTCGAAAGTACAATCTTTTCTCTACATATTAAGATATATATCATTCTCATAGCATAACTAGTTTGAAAGATACGTTTTTTTTAATTTCAAGGGTTTTTTTATAAAAAATAATGAATTTTAAATTTTTTAAATTTTAATATGCTATACACCACACGAAAGTATAATCTTTTTCCTACAAATTAAGATATATTATATCATTCTCTTAGCATAAGTCGTTTGAAAGATACGATTTTTTTTCAAGTGCAAGGTTTTTTTACAATGAATTGTGTCTTTTTAGAAATACTGTGAAATTTCTCACCTTTTTTTAAACAATTTAAACAAATTCTTTTAAAGTGATATATATCAGTCGAAAGTGCAATCTTTTCTCTACAAATTAAGATATATATCATTCTCATAACATAACTAGTTTGAAAGATATGATTTTTTTAATTTCAAGGGTTTTTTATAAGGAATTATGTCTTTTAAAAATACACTTAATTTTGTCATTTTATCTTAATCAATATAAACAAAATATTTGAATATGCTATAAATCACACGAAAATATTATCTTTTCCCTAAAAATTAAGATGTATATCATTCTGTTAGCATAAGTCGTTTGAACGATACGATTTTTTTCAAGTTGAAGGTATTTTTACAATTAATTGTGTCTTTTTAGAAATACTGCGAAATTTCTCATCTTTTCCTAAGCAATATAAACAAATTTTTGGAAAGTGGTATATATCAGTCGAAAGTACAATCTTTTCTCTACAAATTAAGATTTATATCATTCTCATAGGATAACTAGTTTGAAAGATATGATTTTTTTAATTTGAAGGTTTTTTATAAAAAATTATAAATTTTAAAAATATACTTAATTTTGTCATTTTCTCTTAATTAATATAAACAAAATATTTGAGTATGCTATATATCTTACGAAAGTATTACCTTTTCCCTACAGATAAGATATATATCATTCTTTCACCATAAGTCGTTTGAAAGATACGATTTTTTTTTACATTTAATGTTTTTTTACAATGAATTGTGTCTTGTTAGAAATACTGTGAAATTTCTCATCTTTTCCTAAACAATATAAACAAATGCTTTAAAATTAGTATATATCAGTCGAAAGTACAATCTTTTCTCTACAAATTAAGATATGTATCATTCTCATACCATAACTAGTTTGGAAGATATGATTTTTTTTTAATTTCAAGGTTTTTTATAAGGAATTATATCTTTTAAAAATATTCTTAATTTTGTCATTTTATCTTAATTAATATAAACAAAATACTTGAGTATGCTATATATCTCACGAAAGTATAATGTTATCCCTACAAATTAAGATATATATCATTCTCTTAGCATAAGTCGTTTGAAAGATACGATTTTTTTTCACGTTCAATGTTTTTTTTACAATCAATTGTGTTTTGTTGGAAATACTGCGAAGTTTCTCATCTTTTCCTAAGCAATATAAACAAATTCTTGGAAAGTGATATATATCAGTCGAAAGTACAATCTTTTGTTTACAAATTAAGATATGTATCATTCTCGTACCATAACTAGTTTGAAAGATATGATTTTTTTAATTTCAAGGTTTTTTATAAGGGATTATATCTTTTAAAAATATACTTAATTTTGTCATTTTATCTTAATTAATATAAACAAAATACTTGAGTATGTTATATATCTTAAAGTATAATCTTTTCTGCACAAATTAAGATGTATATCATTCTCTTAGCATAAGTCGTTTGAAAGATACGATTTTTTTTCAAGTTCAAGGCTTTTTACAATGAATTGTATCTTTTTAGAAATACTGTGAAATTTCTCATCTTTTCCTAAACAATATAAACAAATTCTTGAAAGGTGGTATATATCAGTCGAAAGTACAATCTTTTCTCTACAAATTAAGATATATATCATTCTCATAGCATAACTAGTTTGAAAGATACGTTTTTTTTAATTTCAAGGGTTTTTTATAAGAAATAATGAATTTTAAATTTTTTAAATTTTAATATGCTATACACCACACGAAAGTATAATCTTTTCCCTACAAATTAAGATATATATCATTCTCTTAGCATAAGTCGTTTGAAATACACGATTTTTTTTAATTTCAAGGTTTTTTATAAGGAATTATATCTTTTAAAAATATGCTTAAATTTATCATTTTGTCTCAATTAACATATACAAAATACTTGAGTATGTTATATATCTCACGAAAGTATAATCTTGTCTCTACAAATTAAGATATATATCATACTCTTAGCATAAGTCGTTTGAAAGATACGATTTTTTTCACGTTCAATGTTTTTTTACAATGAATTGTGTCTTGTTAGAAATACTGTGAAATTTCTCATCTTTTCCTAAGCAATATAAACAAATTCTTGGAAAGTGGTATATATCAATCGAAAGTACAATCTTTTCTCTACAAATTAAGATATATATCATTCTCATAGGATAACTAGTTGGAAACATATGATTTTTTTAATTTGAAGGTTTTTATAAGAAATTATGCATTTTAAAAATATACTTAATTTTGTCATTTTATGTTAATCAATATAAGTAAAATATTTGAATATGTTATACATCACAGGAAAGTATTATCTTTTCCCTACAAATTAAGATGTATATCATTCTCATACCATAACTAGTTTGAGAGATATGATTTTTTTTAATTTGAAGGTTTTTTATATGAAATTATGAATTTTAAAAATATACTCATCTTATTTTAATCAATATAAACAAAATATTTGAATATGCTATATATCTCACGAAAGTATAATCTTTTCCCTACAAATTAAGATATATATCATTCTCTTAGCATAAGTCGTTTGAAATATACGATTTTTTTCACATTCAAAGGTTTTTTACAATGAATTGTGTCTTGTTAGAAATACTGCGAAATTTCTCATCTTTTCCTAAACAAATTCTTTGAAATTGGTGTATATCAGTCGAAAGTATAATCTTTTCTCGACAAATTAATATATGTATCATTCTCATACCATAACTAGTTTGGAAGATATGATTTTTTTTAATTTCAAGGTTTTTTATAAGGAATTAGGTCTTTTAAAAATATACTTAATTTTGTCATTTTATCTTGATATAAACAAAATATTTGAATATGCTATACGCCACACGAAAGTATAATCTTTTCCCTACAAATTAAGATATATATCATTCTCTTAGCTTAAGTCGTTTGAAAGATACGATTTTTTTCAGTTCAAGGTTTTTTACAATGAATTGTGTCTTTTTAGAAATACTGTTAAATTTCTTATCTTTTCCAAAGCAATATAAACCAATTCATTGAAAGTGGTATAAATCAGTCGAAAGTACAATCTTTTCTCTACAAATTAAGATATATCATTCTCATACCATAACTAGTTTGAGAGATTATGTCTTTTCAAAATATAATGATGACATCGGGTACGATAAATAATTAATTAACACAGTGTATTTTCCTAACAAATTAATATATAAATCGTGTTTTTATGATAATTCATTTTACTCATATTTTTTAAGGTTTAATTACAATGTTTTTTATTTTATTTTTTTTAGCAATGCGCTTCAAGAACGAACGATAGCAACCAGAATAGCCATCCAAATGAAATTTTTAGACAATTAGTCTGATAGCTGATCCAGCACGGTCCTCTGTCTCTGACTCCATTGGGTATCCCTCTTTCATGGACGCAAGTGTTGTTTGTGTAAATAAATCTTTAAGGAGAAAACGTCGACGAAAATAAAAATTTAAAAAAATAAATTAAAAAAAAAAATAGTAATAAACCAACGAAAAAAAAAATTAAAAAAACGACTCTGTTTATGATGAGTCTTTTTTATTAATAATTTAAGCTTCTTTAAATCTTTGTTTTTTTTTAATATTCATCGTGATTAAAAAAAGACTTTTTTGATAAAGACGATCTTAATCTTAATAAAGTGAAAGAAAAAATTAATTTTTTTGACTTAATTGAATAAATTTAAGAAATATAACAATTTTTTTTCGAGCAAAAAACATGTATATTAATATGAAAACAAAACAAAAAAAAAATATTGTAGGTCTGTGATATCAATGTATTTTGAATATCTTTTTTTTGATTAAAAAAAATTAATTTTTTGATTTCTTAATTTTTTTAATTTAAAAAAATTTATTTTTAATTTGATTTTAACGATTGGACCAAAAGAAGAATTTAAATTTTTGAGAAAGAAAAAAAATACGTTTTAATTAAATAATTTAATTGAAAAAAAAATTTTTATTAATGTTTGTAAACGATTTTCGGTTTATTTTTAATTTTTAGAAGCTATTATTGATTAATTATTGATTAGTTTTTAGTGGTATACATATAGAATATAAAAAAAATATAAATATATTATAAAAATATAAATATAAGTAACGGTGTATCGAAGCAATAGTTTATTCCGCTTGCAGAATTAAAAAAATCGATAAAAATGAACTAAAAAAAAATCGTGTATTTGTTGGTCATTTTAAACGATTAAAAATCGATAAAATTATTATTATATATATTATATAATAGTGTACATACCGTTTTTAATGATATAATGAATAATAATAATAAATATATAACTTAGCCCCCCAATTAAAACAAATAAATTTTTTTAAAATTAATTTTGAATAAAACAACTTAATAAAGACCCGGATTTAAATTAATTTATTAATTTAAATAATTTAAAAAAATTCTTTTGGGGTCTTTATTTCGAGAAAACTTATTTTTTTATTAGAATTACTCGACAATCATATAAAGAATGAGATTAATAATAAAATAATTAAAAGCAATTTCTTTAAAAATAATTTAATTCTTATCTTTATCGTTTCAAAATCATTTTTTGCAATAACTAACCCTGTAAATACCTATGTATAGTTATTTATATAAAAAAAACGTGTATTTAAAACACTTTAACACCTAAAAAAATCGATACCAACAAAAATAGGCAGGATTTAGACCCAAAAATTTCTTTCCCATTTTATTAATTAATTTTAAAACTTAGTACATATCTTCATATCGCAATAAAATAATAAAAATAAAAAGTGTATACTAAAAGGGAATTAAAAAAGGATTAAAATTTTGTCGATATAGTCGTTTTGGGTTGATTTGAAACATTTTTAGGCGGATTAATCTTGTTATAAAAAGAAGCAAAACGAATTTAACACCTCCCAAAAAAAAATTAATAATAAATACTAAGAAGAAGATTAACTTACAATTAGACCTTCTTCACTCTCGAATAAATAAATCTAAAAAGTAATTAAAAAATAACGTTTGTAAGCGGACATTTCACTTCTATGAAGTGAAAAAAGCACCTTAATTCCTCTCAAATTAACTGTAATTAATAATTAAATCCTTTTTAATTTAGTTAAGTCTTATTTTTAAAATTATACTAACTAATTATAAGTAATTCACCCCTAAATTTATTTTATAACAATGTACAGTAAAATAATAAGTTTGTGTTTTTCCTTTTAATTAATTAATTAATTAATTTATATCATCTTTTATAATTAAGTTATTAGTTTAATTAATTTTGTTTTAACTGCATTTTTTACTTAATTATTTTTTATTAATTAATAATTTCATGTATTTTCAAAAAAAAAACTCGTTCTGTGTAAATAGGGATTACTGCTACTAGAAAGTAATTTTAAAATCGTAACAAAAAAAAATAATAAACCCGAGTACTACGTTTTTCCGTTTTAGCTCACACGCAGTGAAAATTATTAATTAAATAATTAAAATAGCAATTTACGAAGGTGAACCCGTTGTGAAGAAAAGGAACACGAAGAAGGTGAATGCGCGATAAAAATAAATTTGTAAAAAATACTTAATTAAATACCAGATGACTTGTAACAATTATTGCTATTGCTCTCCAAGATTATTATTACAAATAAAAATTATATAATAAATTTTTGATATCTTTTATTTATTATTACGATATATAAATAAAATAAATAATCTTTTATTACGAATTTTTTGTTGAGAATGTATTTTCGAAAACTCGATTTAAAAGAAATTTTGCCTAATTGAGTTTAAAAATTAATATCTCAAAAACTAAAAGATGTTTTGAAAAAGCGTTTATTTCCTTGGAAAGCTTATAATTTGTTTAATGAGTGGTAATAATTTCGTAATGATTGCTTAAAACGCTGATTTATTATGATTTTTTGAAGATGACTAAATAAATGTGTAAGACGAAAAATGAGAAAATGACTTGTGATGTTTAAATAGTTAATTTCTCAAAAACTAAAAGAAATTTTGAAAATCTGTTTCTTTCATTGGAAAGCTTATAATATGCATAACAAGTGCTGATAATGTCATAATGATTGATTCAAACTCCAGTTTGTTATGATTTTTTGAAAATGACTAAAACAAGTTGTTTTACCCGAAAAATGAGTAAATGTCTCATGATCTTTAAAAAGTTAATTTCTCAAAAACTAAAAGATATTTTGAAAATCTTTTTCTTTCATTGGAAAGCTTATAATTTGTATAATAAATGCTGATAATTTCATAATGATTGATTCAAATTACAATTTATTATGATTTTTTGAAGATGACTAAATAATTGTTTAAGACGAAAAATGAGAAAATGACTTGTGATGTTTAAATAGTTAATTTCTTAAAAACTAAAAGAAATTTTGAAAATCTGTTTCTTTCATTGGAAAGCTTATAATTTGTATAATAAATGCTGATAATTTCATAATGATTGATTCAAACTTCAATTTATTATGATTTTTTGAA